GGCTGCCGCATGAGAGGAGCCCTGAAGAGGAGATACAAGGACTCCCTGAAACAACATCTCAGCCTTGGCCATATTGATCAACATAACTGGTCTACTCTGGCCTCAAATCGGGAGGCCTGGAGACACACTATCTTTAATGCTGCTGTTTCCTTTGAGAAAGCACGCAGGATCACTCTTGAGGAGAAAAGACAACACAGAAAGAATTATGCCTTGCAGAATATACCATCTAAGGAGTCTTTCTGTTGTGCCTTTTGCAATCGTACGTGTCTATGTCGCATTGGCCTCATTAGCCACCAGTGCGTTTGTAACAAATGTGGATAGAGCCTTTCCCAAATCTTCGTTGGCGAAGCCCAGCCATGATGACTATTCAATATTTCTCGAAATCAAGTTCACCTGTCATTTGAGTGCTTAGAAACCAGGTTTCATCCTTGAAAGCAGATGTGCTTTATGACTCACTTAGCTAAAGGCCAGATAGCTGTATCAAAATCATTAAGTTAAAGATAACTGGGTACTTACATTACATTCAGAAGGCTCTTGCTCTCATATGGGTTGTGCTGTTTCTTGCTGCTTTAGTCATACTGCTGTTTTCCTCTGTTAAACATTACGTGGCTTCAAATACATATTACCTAGAAGCACAAAGGTGAATGCTGATGAAACTAGTTTTCTTGGATGTTATATGCATCTGTCCACATTTCCTCACTCCAAACAGAGAGCAAAGACCATGGGGCCCGGCCGGTCAGTAGAGTGGAGTGTTACATCCAAAAGAGTAAGCAAATATTTATTGGAAATGAAATTTTGGTGCCAAGAGCAGCTACTTTGCCCTATATTCTACCTGAGATGGATATAACTGTTCATCTGGAGACACAATTTTGCCCAGCACTAAGCTTTGAAGACCAGGGGGAGGGAGATGCAAGGAGCACCACTTGTGCTCAGCCGTGCTACCCAAACTACTGGACTGCACTTATGTGTCAGCATGTCTTTTATTTCTACGCAGTAGAGACTCCAGTGGTCACTATTCAGAAGCCAGTGAGTTGTCTTGGCCTCATAAACATTTACACTTCTGTTAAACATTACATGCATAAAAAAAAAGTTATCTGAAGACACAGATAAATGCTGATGTAGACATGCAGAGAAGGTAGAAGTCAGTGATCGCAGGGCCAGCTGGCTTTTATGTTTGCTGTCCCCAACATGCATAACTGCCATCTGCAAACACACTTGGAAGAGGAGAGGTCCATGGCCATGGGCAGTTGTACTACCACATACACCTTTCTAGCTTATTGCCAGCTAGTGACACAAATGCTAAAACATCTTGTGAGGTGTGTTATGGCCTGCACTGGGGCTTTAGTTTTTTGATCATGCAGCTTGGGGATCTGTTACAACATGCTAAACCAAGCTAACTTCTTTATAGAAAGAGCAGAAAAGGTAATTTATGTGAAACTTGTTTTTTCTCCCCAAATGAACTTGGCAGCAGTTCAGAAACAGTCCCTCACTCTGAGGCTTTCTTTGAGCCTTGGTTTAGTCACAACAGAAGAGGAAGCCTGGGCAGTGGAGTCCACTGTGCAGCTGCAGGGCCAGCTGAAGCAGAAAGTAACAGGAGAGAGACTCAGTGCTGTAAAGAATTACATGCAAGAGTTGGGGCTGATTCTGGATTCCCTGCATGGTTCAATACAGTGAGAAAACTGTCAGATACACAAACACAAATGTTTTTGCTGTTCAGACATTCATCTGTATTAGTCTCTTGTTTAAAGTCAACATGGATCGATTCTGAAACTCTTTAAAATCTGCCTCTCTTTGCTTCATTTATCCTTTTTCTCAAGAGGTGGTGGCTTGAAGAAGAGGTTCATTGTCCTATCAGGGAGGTCAGCAGAGGTTATACAAGCCAACAGCTGGTCCACCACGGGGCCTATTTCTGGAGAGAGTAACCTGCAAAAGGTGCTTAGCAGTGTACTTTGTTTTACACCCTAGTTCCTTTCTAAACATGTGACTGTACTGGTGCTATTTGACCCCAGTGCTTCTGTTACAAGCTGCCTAGCTCCTTTCTTCTGCAAATGCTCAGCATACCTTGCAGGCAGCCCTGGCCATGCCCCCTGAATGCAATGCGTGCTCTAAGCATCATTCTGTAGAAACATTTTCTAGGACTGTTACAAAATTCCTCTTGTTTTGGACACTGAAAGAAAAGCAGTGGCACTGTCTCAAAGTAGCAAAATGTCAGTCTTGGCTGGGGAAGGACCTGGACCAAGTGTTTGCAGAGCAGTCACAGCCACCCCACTCCAGATCTATAACATCCACATTATAAAACATATTTCTAGTATGGATGTATTGGCTGCCCCAAGGCTGTCTTCATGTTCCATCCAAAAAGATGGTATATGTATTGCCAAAATTCACCACTGCTTACTCTGGCACCAAACTCTAGCTGAGAGGATGGAGTCATTGTTGGGGAGCTGGGGGGTGGTGGCTCTGGAGCAGACTCAGTGTTAGGTTGAAGAACTTACCTAAAGTATGTCTGAAGACATACATGGTCGCAGTAAGATTTTCCCATTAATTTCTGTTCTTACAACAGTACTGAAAGGTCTGCCTGCCCCTGGCCTTCAATTCAGCAAGGGAAGGAAAATGCGTGGAAAGTAAGCCATGGTCAGTCTGGTAGTGGTTCACATAAGAATTTTCCCTGCATTTATTTTCCTAAAAATACCTTTTTTAGCTCTCTTATACCATTTGACAGAGCTCACTGCTCATTTATACTGTAAATGGAGATTAATGAGGAGCTTGTTACTCTAATGAGTTTTTAATAATATGCATACTATGAGAGGTAAACATATCCATTTCAAGCAATGGTAATAGAAGCTGCAGATGATGAATGGTATTGCCAAATTATTCAGAAGAAACATAGATCTATGATTCCCATTTAATCTATGGAAAACTGGGATTCACACGTCAGTCAAACATAATGTAGCAGAAGTTCAGTGTTTGACTGCCGCTAAAATCATTACTTCAGGATAAAAAAATTGGTATTTCATAATTTGAAAATGTATTCAAGATTTTCCGTAGTTTTCTTTTAATAGTTACCTATGTAAAGACACTCCCAGCTAGAGGAGTGCAGTGAGAAACACAACTTGGTTATAAAGAGGTGTTCAAAATAATTGTGTTACCATTTCCATATTACTAAGCCTTGGAAATAATAGCTCAGCTCTAAAGCCTCAGGAAAGAAAGGAAATATTTCCTTTCCATGTATTGTATTTATTGATATCAAGGAAAACTGTAGAATTTATGTACTAAATACATAGTTTTCTGTATCATGTGGAAAGTGAACTTCTCAAACCAGAATGGCTGGAAACAGATTTTCTAATTCCATGTTTATAAACCAAACCAAAAATGTCTTAGTAATCATCTGTACTTCATGACTGCATTTGGCAGATGTTTGAAAGAAATGTTAAGGTGTTTGATATTTACTGGCCAAGTTATGTTTTTATGCAGGAGCCCAGCTATTACTAAAAGAGTGTAATTTTAAAACTCTAGCTTTGAAAACCCTAATTATGCTAGCAGAAAGTTTGTCCTTGAAAAAGTGTTACAGATCCTAAGCAGTTGTTATTTAATCTATTTTTTTGTTTTAAAGTAGGAACGATTGGTTTAAAAGAGGCTTTTTAAAAACAGCAACCTAAAATCTTACGTAAGACATGCGCACACAGGCTCTGGATGCACTAAATGTCTCTCACTGGCTTGTTTCATTTTTCTCTAAAGGAACACAATTTTGCTCTTAGTTCTAATATAAACACAGTTCATGTGCAAGGTAATTGTGATCTGGTGTATTGTGTTTATACTTCCAAGGCAGAAAACCATGTGGATTTTTGTAATTGATATTAAAGAAAACTATAGCCTCATGTTTTCACTTGGTTAGGACTGTAAGCATTGCTGATTTCTGTAAGCAGTTACACAGTGGCTATTTAATGAGCCATGCCTAACAAAGTAATAAGGTTTAATTAGCCCAGCTTAATCTGACAGCATGCTGCTGGCATACTATTTGTTTGTACAGCTGGCTAGTGATGCATGTACGCATATAAAATAAAGATCACTCCTTGAAGTTTTTCTTTGCTTTTCAAATATTGTGTAGTTGAATTTCATGTTGTCTTCATACAGACTCTGCTTCCTCCATACAATGTAAAATCAGGTCTCAGTTAATAAGATTAACATATTCTTCATTTTGAGTTTTGATAGAGGCTACTTTCAAGTTTAACATTGGCAATGCCTATACAAATTTCATATTTCTGGTTTTTAATCATGGCAAAAATTTGGGTCACACGAGAAACCAAAACCTGTGTGGACAAGATCCTAATCTTGTATTATCTTCAACATGTACCATTGTTTCAGGGGGCAAAAGCTCCAAGTAAAGCACATAGATAGACTGCTTAAGGCAGGATTAGATCTACACAGAGATAGTAATTGATTAATGTTTATAGCATCTTCCTTTATACTTTAAAAATAAGATTATTGTTTTGTTCACATGTTGATGTCCACCATGCCTTACATGGATTTTCAAACCTGAAACTCTGAGCCAAGGTTTCCTTTTTTCCTNTTTTTTTTGTTTGGTTTTTTTTTGCTATGGAGAGTCTAACCTACAGTTGCAATCAATGATAACCACTGAATAGTGAGAGGACAAGAATTAAATCTATATTCATCAGCCCTGGCTCTGTGTTCTTCCCAGCAAAATTCAGCAGGTCTTTGTGAAAGTCCCGTAAAGAAAGTGGGGGAGTTTCATAGGAACAGAGACTGGATGGCAGAAGTGTAAAGGGAAGTCCCTGATGCAGTGACTCCTGGGAGCAGTTGCATCTGAGGAAACCCAGATCAGTGACTCTTAATCTACCTAGTGGAGAGCAGAGCACTGGAAATTCCAGAAAGAGGCTGAAGTGGAAAAGCAAGAGAGAGGTAGTCTGTGCTTCTCTAACAAAACACATGCATCCACTCAATAATAAAATCTTGTTCAACTTCTGTCCAGCCACACTGTCTAATGGTTTCTTGAAGCAACCTTATAATCAATATGGCAGAGAAACATTAAAACTTCGGGATCATAATCAGTCATTAAAACATTATATTTCTAAATACTGTCCCTCTATACATCGTATTTTGCTTCTCAGGGGAACATAGCCAACAAGTGTGCCAGTATGTTTTCCCCACAGGTTTGAACTGCATGGCTGCTTTCCAGGAGATGTGTAGGTAATTTACAGCTCTCAAACTGTACTATTTAGTGGAGTGTCCAGTTAGTATGTGGGAGTGAAACCTAATCACACAATGGACTTGTTATTTGCTGGCTGTCATTTACAAGAAAGCGAGGAATTGAACTGACATCTGAGTGAGAAAGGATCATGAAAATCCCCCATCTCTGCACGGAAAGCCATCAATAGTTGTCACAGAGGTTAATTTTGTGCTAGTTCGGATCTATTAACTCGAAATCCAGTGTGAACACAATGAGGAAAAAAGGGGTTTTAATCAATGTCTTTGAAGTAGTTTCTAAAGAAAGACTGGAACACCCCTAAAATCCACAGAGTGCCAAAAATAACTCCTCATTTTTGCCCACAGAAATGAGATACAAGGGTTAGGTCTCAGTGGTTAGTTCAGTGTTGCCAAACTCCATGAATACTGAAGTGTTTAGAGAGGCTGTTTTCCCTTTAAACTTCTTCTGACCTTTCATCATCTTCCCCCGCCCAAATTCCATCTCCATCCAAAGCACACATATCACATCCAACTGGAGTGCCTTGGAAAGAAAACGGAGTTGGATTTCTTGGGGGAGCAGGGGAAGAACATTTTGGGGAATCAGTCAGTAAAAAAGAAACTAGATAAACATAGTCTTTACTGTTAAAAAATAGAAATAGAGGACTTATCTGACCACTTTTACTGCCTCTAAACAAATTTTTTCATTCATTTTCCTGTGTTAAATTAAATTAAGATGTATATCTGTAGTGCCTCCATCTGTACAGCAATACAACCATTGAAAGATACTTTTTTTAAAGAAGCAAGTACTAAAACTACCTGTGTTTACCCCAGCTGTGCTTTCGTCCTCTGTCTTTTTTCTTAATTTCTTTTTTTTAGTAAAGAAAGTGAATTATTTAAGGAACTGCCACGTTATATTATCAAAAAACTGGCCAAAAAGTGAGTCATCTTAGATTGGAATAGCTCTGAGTTTCATTTATGATTCATAGGACTGTATTGAATGAGTTGGATGCCTGAACTAAACATTGGGTTTAAATCGAGCACACCAGATCTACATAACCAAAAAGAGAGAGCTAATCATCATCTCAGTGAGCTTGGAAGGGAGCAGTCTTTGAGCAGACACTGGAGTGGAAATTAGAACAGATGTAAATATGTCTCTAGAAAGAAACTCGGTTTGCTGTGATGCTCTACAATTTCTACATGCCTTGGTGCAGAGAGAGCCTCTCCTACTCCCAAAATAAGGAAGAAGGAGCAAGAAGTGATTTGTCACATCAGCTGTCATCTCCTACACATGACCTTGCCTTGGGGAAGAAAGATCACAAGCCAATCCCAAAGACTCAAGGACATGCAAGAGTCAAAATCTTGAAGATCACTCAAAGTTTCTTTTTATGGTAACCACTGTGCACCGCTGGTGGAGGTTCTCCTTTTTGGCCTTGCCTGTGCACATCTAAAGCCTTTGAAGCATATCTGGTTTTGATCTTGGATGATGGAGAGTGGACACTGGATTGGAGCCCTGCTTTTCTGGGTTATCAGGATCCAAGGCGCCTCAAGCTCAGTGGTATCCATTATAGGTGTATGGTTCTAAAGCCATGTTATCTATCTCTGTTTCAGCCCCTCTGATAGTGATACTGATATTGATATTGATACTGATACTGGCTTTTGAAATCCATCCACCTGCCACAACAGGTCATCAACCTGTGCACGCTTTGTGCAGGCATCCTTTTCTCCAGTGGAAGTATCTGGACATCCACTGCAAGCTACCACCTGTACTGAATCTCCTTCCTTACCAGTTCCATCTGGGTGGAAGCAACAGCCTTTTCAGAGGCTGTATAAGTAGACACACTGGTTTTTGCTCTGAGGCGAGTGCCCACCATTATGGCAGAGACCTTAGCACTTAGCACTTACCTAAGCTGTGGGTCTACTCGAAGATTTCAGCACCCTCTCTGCACACCTTGCCTTCACCAACTGCAGCACCACATGCTTCTGATGCACCATGCCCTGTTTTCTGTGCTCCCTAGAGCCATTTAAATCTCCTGTGGATGCTCCTGACAATGCCCCCTCCTTGCCAGATTGGCTTGATAGAGGTTCCAGGTCCTGATGGGGCTCTGGACTGCTGCTTGAGGGTCCCTGAGCACAGGTGATTATGCTGCTGGTAACTCATTCTGACATGCCAGGAGTATGCATGTGGTATTTGGGGTTACCAATGCTCTTTGAAGGTTGCAGGAGAGCGCTACCTTGAGGAATATGTCTCACGAGGACTTGCTGAGCCTAGAGGTTATTGTGATTTGCAGATGATGGATGTTGGCTGTGCAGATCTTGACCATGGCACCTTCATAGCTGCCAAGTTCCTAGTGACAATAGTAGTCAGGTTATCAGCCCTCATTAATCACCAAGTTCTTTCAGAGCTGAGAAATTAGCTTAGTATTGCCAAGGAATATCTGTTAATTACTAATTGTTTGACAATTGCTAGACTATTGGAAAACAAAATTAAATATATTACATCATAAAATCATAGAATGGTTTGGGTTAAAAGGGATGTTAAAGATCATCTAATTCAAACCTGTGCCATGGGCAGGGACACCTTCCACTACACCAGCTTTTCTCAAGCGCCTCCGGGCTGGCCTTGCACACTTTCAGGAATGGGGTATCCACAACTTCTCTGGGCAACAAGTTCCAGTGCCTCAGCACCCTCAGAGTAAGGAACTTCTTTCTAATATCTAATCTAAACCTGTCCTCTTTCAGTTTGGAGCCATTGCCCCTTGTCCTGTCACTACATGCTCTTGTAAATAGTCTCTCTCTTCTTATAGGCTCTCTTCAGGTACTACAAGGCCGCAATTAGGTCACCACAAAGCCTTCTTTTCTCCAGGCTGAACCACTCCAATTCTCTCCACCCGTATTTTGTGCATTTAACAGAGCACTAGTAGGTATTTCTTCAAGTGTTTATTACGCCATACTCTTTTATGGGGTTTTAAAAGTATGGAACGCTTCATGAATTTGCGTGTCATCCTTGCGCAGGGCCATAGTGTTGTCTGTTCTCTTATATGGTTCCGAATCATGGATCGTCTACCGCCACCACCTGCGTCTCCTAGAACGCTTTCATCAACGCTGCCTCCGTACAATCCTAAACATCCACTGGTCAGATTATGTGACCGATACATCTGTTCTAGAACAAGCAGCAGTCACAAGCATTGAGGCCATGTTGCTGAGAACTCAGCTGCACTGGGCAGGGCACGTCTCGAGGATGAAGGACCACCGCCTCCCTAAGATCCTGCTTTACGGTGAACTTGCCTCTGGCTGCCGCATGAGAGGAGCCCCGAAGAGGAGATACAAGGACTCCCTGAAACAACACCTCAGCCTCGACCACATTGATCATCTTAACTGGTCTACTCTGGCCTCAAATCAGGAGGCTTGGAGACACACCATCTATAACGCTACTGTCTCCTTTGAGAACGCACACAGGATCACTCTCGAGGAGAAAAGACAACGCAGAAAGAATCGTATCCTGCTGAATACACCAGCTAAGGAGTCTTTCTGCTGTGCCTTTTGCAATTGGATATGTCTATCTCGTATTGGCCTCATAAGCCACCAGCATGCTTGTAACAAACGTGGATAGAGCCTTCCTAAATCTTCGTTTGCGAAGCCTAGCCATGAAAAAAAAAAGTAGGTATTTCCAGAAGAATATGCAATTTGCTTTTCAGACCATGACCTTAAGGATGTTTCTGCTATGTGCCTTTAGTTTCTTCCTAGTGGATGCTACACAATACTGGGAACAATGACAGACCTGTGCACTGGCTCTAATCAGTGGCTGTTTGAAATATGTTATTTTCTTTGATTTACTTCAAGCATGCTATTTCCCCTTCCCCAATACTTGTTCCTTCTTTATGGTCTTAAACACTACTCAAAGTTGCTGCTGGTTTTTCTTCTAGTGCCTGTTGAACTTCACATAGTTTGTAAGTGACAGTTAAATCTACCTCCACCATGGATTAATCTGGGTTTCAGAGCTTCTCATTTATGGTTTTAGCCTTTGTTCCACTTCTAGTTCCTAGTTATGACAACGAATACAGTTTGCTGCTATTTCTGCACTGCTTGTTTTCCTTTTCGCCTTATTTCAGAGAGCTGCTCAGTGTGTGCTGTTCCAAAGCTTCTGCCATGTTGGCAATTCTTCTTTTCTGGCTGTTAACCTAAAATAGCCTTCACAGAAGATTTCAGCCCTACATAACAGATTTCCCTTAGTGTCCACATAGGTTGCATCTCCTGCATGTGTATGGTTGCATGCACTGCCATATCAGATTTGTGTGTAGACCCCAATGCAGGCTGGGTTAGAAGATGGCCTTTGCACTTTATCCCTCATGTGGTTCATCAGACCAGCTCCATCCTCAGCAATGTCACTGCATTGAAGTGGCCCATCCAAGTACTTGCATGCAGCAGCAGCAACTCTTGACGAGCTAGGATGAAAGCCCTTCCTTGGCTGCCCTGAGGCTTCTTGGTTACAAAATTCACAGTAGAGAGCCAACCAAGAAACAAAAATCCAGGAAAGAAGAGACAAAAAACCAGCAGATTGAAAGAAGAAACACTGTCTTGAGCAAACCATGACTGCAATGGATTTGTGACAACCTTAATGCCGACAATTTGGGAGGGTTGTGTAATCCTTCTGTGCTTATTATTTACTATAAAAATTTGTTGCATTTTTCCAGTGAGGGGCATGACCTGATTTTTGCCAAATTAGAAAGAAAACCAAGGCAATTCATGTATGGTTCCCACTCCCATCTGAAGATGATTCCCTACCATGATATTTTTCAATTGTCCAGTTCTTAAATCATCTTGATTTTTCTCTACCCACTTTCACATGCGTTAAGCAACAAGGTTACCTCTCAAAGTGAGATGTGGTTGGTAGAATACCATCTGGATATTTTTTTCCTACTAATAAACGGAGACTATTGATCTGAGGTCCGTGAGGAACAACAAACATAGTCTCTTGATATTTGCCTACAGAATCATTTGTCATTGCAAAGTTGGACTTTGGAAATTCGTCCTGAGTTAGCCCTGAGACTTGCAAAGAACTTTTAAATTATCATCTTTAGAATCAGTTTATCTGTATTAGACCAAGTCCTGATATGTCCAGAGATATAAAGCTAACTGTTTGTTACTAAATACTGAACATACTAAACATAGTTATAAGTAAGAAACTTTTGTCATTGGTTTATGTGATTCTGAGGAGGACTTTCAATGTCAAGTGTTATATGTCTGCAGATAGACATGGAATGTTTTTTCTATTACTTATTGGTATTCTTACAGCAACAATTAACTCATATTGATAGCATTAACTTAATGTCAAAGAAAATAAAGATCCCCAAACAAAACAAAAAAAATGTATTTTAGGAATATTCACCATAATTTTTAAGTTATATTTTTCACAAACATCTTAAGAAACTAAGATCTAAAAAGTTGACGTTTATATTTTTTCCACCAGTTTGAGTTATATAAAAAAAGACTTAATCAATCTATAATCTAAATACTTTTACTGCCTTTCTATATGTTAGTAAGATGTGCTAAGGATGTTGACTAAAAAACTAAAAAGCAATAATGAAATAATTTAAAATATTTACTGCTTTGTGTTTCTTTCCTTTCATAACCATGTAACTATCTAGTGTAGTTGGACCCAGGAAACCTTAAGTGGAAAGGTACAAATATCAATTCACAATCTGTTTTTACTCTATAATAATAATCCACTGCTAACATTTAGGAAAGTGACTTCTCAAATATTTTCTGAATTTTTTATGTGTGTTTATGATAGCTTAAAGCAGGTTAACAGTCCCTAGGCTACCACTGAGGAGGAGACAGAAGAAGGTAAGCTAAAACGCCTACATTCATCAACTCTTTACAGTGGTGTGTCCTCCAGTGTCCCAGTCAATGATCCCACAGTTTCATGCCATACTTCGTTACAAAACCTAAAGAAATTAATAAAAATTCACTCCGATATTAAGGGGATCTATATTTAAGAATAATCATCAAAGGTTAGTGGATTAAACAGACAGGTCTTACACCTTGTACCTTCTTTTCCCTCTTTCCCTTCTCCTCTCACAGGCACAAACTGTGATTGTACAGCAACAGCTACATCATCTGGAGACTTTGAAAAATCTGAATATCCCACAGGAGCATGTCAGAAAAGACATCCTACAAAACTGGTGAAAAGTGACTTGTATTTCATTAACACTACAAGCTATACTCAGCTGTAGGCTGGGCAAATACTAGTGACTTTTGGACAAGGAAAAATTGTTTTTATGTTTTAAGGGGTGATTATGTTTATAAGGGTAATGGTTGAAAGATGAGCACTACTACTTAGTGGTATGCATACATAAGTGTTTCACGGGATCACAGGAATTTAGCCAGCGATGTGCTGAAGTCTTGTCAATCAGTCATTTTTCTGAGGGTTTACAATTTTCCCAATGAAGAGGACAGCGTGGGTGAATTTATCCAGAATCAGCAGGAGAAAGGGCCTGTTGAATCTGACTCGAGGCGGACGAGGAAAATCACCAGATCTCCAGGTAACCTCCTTCACTGTGACCCCTGTTGCTTCAGTGCCATTCTCATGAACATTCAGCACAGCTTTGTGAATCACCTGCGAGGAACAAAGCAAAAGAGCCTCCAGCTGACAACCCAGCCAGAAGAGAGCAGTCTGCCACCCTCTTCACTCTTGGCAAAGGGAACCCTGCCTGGAGCGAGATCCAGCAGCAGCCTCTGGGAGGGTCATCACCAGTTGCTCCCCTTCCCACTGCAGTGCCAACAGCCATCACTGCATGTGCAGAGAGTAACCCTCAAACTGCGGGCAGCCAAGGAGCAGTCAAGATGACTGATGGCAAGAAACTCTGGAAGGAAAGAAACCTGGTAATTTAGCCTAGACTCAATTTTGTCTTTGGCAGCTTCATGTATTATTGTGAATTTACCCTGTCATCTAGATGAAAAAAATAACTTTTTGAGAACACTAGAAGGAGAGGAATAACAGCCTTTTGCCCTCTGTAGGAGGAATTAGAGGAAATTTTACCAAAGCTAATGTGCTACATTTAGATAATTTTGTTTGGTAGCCAAAAGAACATTTAATTATATGTATGTCTTCTTCCTCGTCCTGGAACCATGCATTTCTTGTACCTCTTGTACGCGTGTTTGGCTCCAGGTTTATGGATGATAGGGCTTGCTTTGCCTCCAGACTGGCAGCTGATGATGATTGAGCGATGCTTCAGAGAGACTGAGATAAGCTTTTCATGGAATATTAACATCAGGTTCCTCAGAACAGACAAATATTGTGGTTGCTTTCACATGCTTACTTACTTTTGAAACCTTCAGTCCAGGCTCCTCAGTAATCCCAGACAGATCAGCTTGGTCAGTGAACAGATCGGTCATGCCCATTTGTTTGACTATCTTTTTCACATCATAGGTACCAGATATAGAAAATTTTGGAATGTGCAGATGTATTTTTCTGTAACAAACAACACAAATGGGGACAAATTGTCATCTAGGTAACAATCCTCAATGCTTCAGTAGATTGACACTTCACATTTGTTTTTCTAACTGTAAACAGTCTTCTCTCAGGGTCCAGATATCATTTACGATCAGGTTAGCTACTTAACGTGGAGGGTTGGAACAGAATGAGGCTATTAACCCCTGCCTCCACAGTGGGGTTCAAGGAGTGAGGGGGAAGACATAGCTGTGCCAACTCAATGACAGACAGAGCTACTACTGCCAAATAGGAGTGTTTTTTCAAAAGATCATATCTAGCTACCCTAAGGCTGTTCAAATATATGACAGGCCTGGGCCACCACAGAAATAGCTGCAGTAATGGTGAATTAGTCTGCTTTTACTTACAATGCCCACAACACACTAACATACAACAGATTCTCTATCATAGTTTCCCAACGCTTGTATGAAACAAGCTTCTGTTAACTTCATCGTGTTGCTAAGTAACTTTTGGTTGAACCAGGAACTTAACCCAAGATGGATCCCAAGTTCAATACCCTATTTTTTCACTAGTCATAGCTCTTTTTCATTTTCCGCTTACTGAACAGTAGAATAACCTGGCCTTTATTGTTTTGTCTTGGTGAGATAAACACTACTAATCTGTGGCGTGGTCACCTCTTACCTTAACAAAGAAATCTTACCTGTCTTGGAGGAACTTTTCCCATTTAGATACAGTCTTTTTCAAGAGAGCATCTTCCACCTGCTTCATCTTCCCTTCGTCAGGCAAAACAAATAATGCCGCAACACCTCCTTTGTAAGATATCTGAACCAGCCAACAGGACAGCTCTTCATCAAAGTAATTTCTGTAGTGACCCTTTCGATACATCATGTCAACTTTTACAGATGTTTTCTGATCCACAAAAAAATCCTCTTGTTTTGTATATAATGTACTGAAGGGTTTCTCCCAATGAGCTTATGACAAAAAGAAAATTTATTCAGTGGAATACAAAGAGAAATGGTCACAGTGAATATAACAGGATCCAGTCCCACAGCCTTCCTTCAATTAGAGCAATTTTTTTTCATGTTACTGCATCCTCAGATGTTATAGCATTGTAATTTTTTTTAAGTGCTTAGAGACAATTACAGACAGATAATACTGAAAGCGCTGTTTTTCACTAGAGCATGAGTCTGTGACCACATTAAAGAATTTACAAAACTCAGGAAAGATATTTGTATTAAAAATTCACTAAACCAGGTGAGGACACATTTTTACTGTCAACAAATATACATGGGTTTATAGCAATACTTTCAAGATACTGAACATGATTTCCTCAATTTAAAATATTTAAACTCCAGTTTCTTTCTCTTAAGTTTTCATTCCCTGCAATAAGCATTAAATATCTAAGCTACAACCTTTGCACCCTTTGATATTTCTTACCTCTAAAGAAGACATAGTTAACGAGAACCATTGCAGTGAGAGGATCAAGATTTTCCACTAGCTTAACAATTTTCCCATTTGTCTTTTCCTCAATATAACTGTTGATCTGATTCTCAGCGCCAACAGAGTTGTTAAAGTCAGAAGAAAAGACTTCAGATTCATAAAAGTGTTTGACGTCATCCAAGAACTTCTGTACTGGTTTTAGAGTCTCTTCTATAAAAAGGGCATTTCCCAGGCTCAGCTGGAACTCGCTGTCTGAACGGTTCAGCATGTGGAGGAGTTGGCAAAAATTGTCATGTATTTCCAGCTCCTGAGTCTTTTTCAGGTTAAAGGCAAGCCCTTCCAGAATCTGTGTCAGTGTCACTGACTTGGCACCGAGTGCCAGCATTGCAAAGGAAGCAGAGATGCTTATGGGTGAAAAGAAAATATTTTGATCCATTGCTTCGGATGCGACCAGCTTGTAAAACGAAAATGCAAAGTCAGTATTGCTGAAAACTAGTTTGACAAACGTTTTGTTCTTAACTGGATAAGCTCCTTCCCACTGAGAACTATGTCCTGGGTAATGTGTCCCTTTAGCATCATCCTGCTTACTGCGGTAGCGAGGGCGCTGATAACACTGGGCAACAGTATACAAGGCAGCCAGCAATAAACACAAGGAGAAGGTGGGCTTCATTTTCCTTTTAGCTGTTTCTGGAAAAGAAATAGACATACAAAATATGGCATGGCAATTAATCTGTTCATGCTTCAGTAAAGTAAAATGACGGTCTCAGAACATACTTTGTTTTCCAAAGTCCCACACACTTATAATTCACATTCCTGATGCATGTCAGTGTGTCCTAGAAAGAATATGACTGCTAATACACTATTTACATAGCCCAGTTCTCTCTCAAAAGAGGTGATTTTAAACTTCTAAAAGTTTATTACATTTAATGTTAGCATATTAACAGTCCTAGGCTAAGACTGATTTTTTTAAAAATTTGCAAATAACTGGAAGCTTATGACATTTTCCCCAGAGTAACTGGTAGGAGTTGGTTTTGTACTCAGTACTGCAGGATGGTTACTGCAGCCCTGTTAGCCTTCCTCAATTCATCAAATAATTAGAAAATGAAATCTGTGTTAAACAAAAATGTGACAAACATAGATCATACTGTCTAGAACGAAAATTTCAGAATACTCTTACAGTTTCTTCAAAGATGAAACACTAGATCAATGTGGTAAGAAATTCTATAGGCATTTGTATTGTTTCCACACCAAATTTTTATTTAATTATGTGAAGTGTCTTTTTCACTATCTGTTCTTTCTGGCCTTTGAAATGTTTCAACTTTTCCATAACAGTTATATCCCCTTCTTTAGATGTACAAAGGTGCCCTTCCCAGGCAACAATGTAACTCCCCAAAATAAAATGTCCAAATAATCCAAGGGAAAACTAGAAGGGTACTTACATTGCTACGAAAAAGATCTTGATGCATCCATCTAGTCTTGTCTGCTCTTTCTTCTCTTCAGTGCCATTGAACAGCATTACGCAGAGCACCCCCATTAATCATTAATTAGTCCAAACAAAAATTGCCAGTGAAGATGCACAACAAGCAGTAATGACATGGATATTTTGGACAATTTGTCCAAACCAAACACATGCCAACAGTGCTGGGTGAGGGGACTACGGACAAGAGGGAACAGAGCAAGAACTGTATCTCCTGTTGCTTCCATGCTTGAGGATTGACAGGAGAAGCCTGCTGTTGTGGGTGTCTGGCAGGAGAGCCACAGCCATACCCTTTTGTGGCTGCAGCTGAAAGCTGTGAAGACCACTCCTTGCCTGGGTCCAGCTGAGCCAGCACAGGTCACAAGGGAGTGCACTGTCCCTGCCAGAGTGTCCACTCCACTTCATCCTGGGAACTGTAACCTCTCCGTCAGGATTTCAAAACAGGGTTTGGATTTAGAAAGCCCTTTTGCCTCACTGTATACCTCAGTCACAACCTTTGACACCTTGTTTAATGGTTTCAGGGCTTTTCTTATGGAGGGCAGACCGGTGATTGGCGAATGGTCTCTAGGTTTCTAACAAGAATAACATGTGACATTCCCAGTCTAGTAAGACATTTACAGTCAATACAGTTTTTTACTCATTGTAGTTGGTCTTCACCTGTGGCTGAGTATTTGGGAAATTGGTGAAGAGTTTTCCCTTGGCTTTTTAGAAAATATACAACAAAACAACCACTGCTAAGAAACAGTATTTTTGGTGGCTCCAGAGACTGACTGCAAAGGGAAACGTGGTCAGTGAATACCTTGTTTCCTTGGGTTAGTATCATATGCAACTGAAATGGACATCAGGAGCACTCAAAACAGGCCAATTCACCTTTCATCCAGAAGGTCTTAAAAAAGACGTGCTGGCATCACTGGATGATATTCAGGGTTGAATATAATATACGGACAAATCACAGAATGTGGACAAATCACAGAAGGAGAAACTAAGGTAGGAAATGAACTTTTTAAACCGATATGTACTCTCCTCCGTTGAGTAGGATGGTTTTGGTGTTCCACTTAGCACTTGTAGTGTCATTCCCATCAGGTAGATGTAATATATGCAATATGCATCCCATTTATTCCACATTACCAGCAATCCAAAATGTTGATGGCCACCATCAGATTTTGAAGTGAGGTTAAGATCCATAATCCAGAAATCACTGAACCATTGCCCAGTAATTATAACTCGATTATGAACTGTCAAAGTAGCTAGCAATGCATGTGGTCACTGGCCTATTATAGCTTACAAAACAGTGAATAAGATTTACAAGATGGAAAACAGGAACTTGAGTATTTCCAGTTTAGCAAGGTCTGCAAACATACCAATAATCCTTAATCTTCATTAACAGAGATCAACTTGTTTATTAGCAGTGAGGCAGAAAGTACATAAATGAAGGGATGGCCTGAAGGATGACTCCTTTTTGACTGGAGAGGCATGCAACACCCCACACTTGCAATGAAATGCTGTAGTATCTCTTCTCTTTAAAGAATAACAAAAGATGTACACAACCTCTGCTGGGAATAAAAGTTCTTTCTACTTTGTTCATTAGTCCTTGTTATTTTCATTGGTTTTTAACCAAAAAGGTATATTTATCAGCCTCAGGGATTCTGGAAGCAGTTCCATTTCAAGATACCTTCTGCTGCTATCTAAAACCACATAAAACAAGAAAAATTTATGTTGTTTGCAATAGCAAAAACATATTTTTTAAGGTCTGTAGCTTTGAGAGCATCATGGAACTATGATTTACAGATTGACTACATCATGGGATAGCAATTCAGTGATGCCATATTGCCCAGCAAATAGCTTGTAAATACATTGAAAGGATTTAATTTTCCAGGTTCCACCTAATTCCTTCCTTATTCTCCAAGACAGACAACACTTATTCTTTTTTGTTTTCTGGGGTTTCTTGCCATTATAGCTTTAAATTTTATTTCATTTTCTTACATAATATTCCACCTGGCTAAGATATTGGGGAGAATAAAAAAAAATTAAAATAAATTAAATTAACTAATTATAAATTACAACATGCCAAGAAGATGGATGGTACCTTCTCAGCAATGTTAAACTGTTGGGTTTTAATACTGATAACTCTTCCAAATGTTCCTAGAATTATGCCAATTAATCATGTCGACAACAAGTTCCATCACACTTAACAGTAAGTTGGGAAGACAAATGTTATCATTCCAAACATTCTTCCCTCTTCTTCTTCCTTCAGATTTACATGCTGAGCACAATGGTATGAAATATATAGCATGAAGTGATATGAAATATGATTTGCAATATTCATTGGATCACTTGGAGTCATCTGTTCCAGCTGTGTCCCCTCCCAACTCCTTGGGCACCCCCAGCCCACTCACTGGCGGGGTGAGGTCAGAAGGAGACAAGGCCTTGGCTCTGTGTAAGTGCTGCTCAGCAAGAACTAGAACATCTCTGTATTATCAACACTGTTTTCAACACAAATCCCAAATATAGTTCCATTCCAGCTGCTATGAAGAAAATTAACTGTATTCCAGACAAAACTTAGAAGATGCTTCTCATTTTCCATTAACTCTAGACTCCAATTTAACTTGCGTTTGTCCATCATGGAACCCAGAAATGCTCATCCTTTTATGAAGGTTTTGCTTCATTTCTTTTCAAGAAATTAATTCCTCATGTAAAATCTTGATAATTTAATTTTAAATATAAAAGTTGAAGTAAAGTGAACACAAGATATATTGTAAACCAAAAGGATTTTATTTTGTGGATGTGGGCTGCTCATGTGTTTGCACTGTTACTTACTGCTGAACCATATGCAGGAGAATGTCATCTGGCAAATGTGCTTATCAAATACAAACTTCAAAAGGAATACAGTGTAATTATGAAGATACTTTGTAAAAGACATAGATACATGTAAATACACACCCACACCCCCACACCCCCCCCCCACCACCTGTAAGTACCCACGGTATTGGAAAAAAATCAACTAGTATGATGTGTTGATCTAACAATATGTGCATAATTCTGGCAGACAGGAAACTTGGGTTGCCCTCTGAGGACAATTCAAGTAGAAGAAGAAACACAGGCCCTAGGAGTTGTTTTTTAGTATGATAACTGATTGCACAAGATGTGGAATTGTTAATAATTCTAGTCATATGAGCAGTGTGTGAATGGTTCTGCTGAAGATAATCATTTAATCATTATCTTTGCTAAATCAGAACCTGTGGCAATAATGATTAATGCTTAGTGATTTGAACTGGAAAAAAAAAAAGGAAGAAATGCTATCTCAAATTAATTGTGGTATTTTGATAACAACAGTAACCTCAAAACATTTTTAACAGATTTGAAGGATTGCAAATTTGCGGATTTTATATGCAATTGTTTTGAACCATTTTTTTACTAAAGGCTAGTAAAATGAGGATTTTTTTTCCATTCTGATATGAAGTAATGTAAAATAGCATATTCTATTCTGATATCAGATTCTCTGAGAGTTAATGTCTCTCAACCTTAGCGTTTACAGTCTAATCAATTTATTTCTTTGACTTACTTTTAATATACTATTTTTTTCCTTTCATTTACACCTGATAGTGATTCTCAGGTGTAAAATATTTTATCACTTAATATCAAACTGGAAAAAAATTCAAATCGCACTTGTTCCTCACACACAGAGAGCCCTTTCTGTGGAGAGTGCCAGTGTAATGGAAGGACATAACACATTGCTTTCTGCAGCCTGTAATAGGGATTTTCTCATTTATCCTTCTGTTGTTATAGGACCACATGTGGATGGTCCAGAGATTTAGACTGTGGCATGATGATTTGCTATTGATTTTCTCTTTTTTCTATCCCAGTAATTTTTAATATTTAATTTGCCTCCTTCCCCACTACTGAGCTGATCTGCATACCTGCTACCCACCGTGACACCAAAACCTCACTTCTGTGTGACAGCAGTCAGTTCAAGTGCAGCATTTCACCAAACCTGCAGCTAAAACTTAACAAGAAAATCAAAGCTCCTACCAACAGAGTAATAACGAGCCAGAAAGCTGCTGTTCTTCCTGGTTTCAAAATGAGATAGAATTTGTCATGTCCATTCCTTTATTTTAACAGGAGATGGTGGCACAGGGCTCCTTTTCCTGTAATCCCCAGAACTCAAGGCTCCATGCTTAACAGTTCTACCTGCAGAAAATGGTGTAGGAGAATCACACTAAGAGCTTGGCTTCTTGCAAGAATCTTACCACTCATAACTGGTATATGGAAATAGCATTTTACTAGCAGAATTTGCCCTATGGACCTTTTTCTCTTGGTGTAAAAGAACCCTTTCTATACAAACAACATTTTGAGTGACAATTTCACCAGAGAATAAAAGTTCTCATTTTGAAATTAAGTTGTCTACCAGAGAAATCCCTTGGCATTACTAAATAAGTTTAAATTGATGCCTTACATTCTTTATTTCTGTGACATAGATGTGGTCAATTGAGCACTAAGAAAATGCCTTCTGTAGATATTTTGGAATTATACTTGAAGTTTTTTGCTTCCAAAGCCAGATAGAAAGAATTAGGTCTAAATTTTGCAAGATGTTATCATTTTCTACTGTTTGATAGATTAATATTGTTGGCCTCAGTGAAGAAGCAGAAGGACAATCAACTAGCCAAGTGAATATATTCAATAAAAGTAAATTTATTATATGATTCCATTGCTCATATCCATTTTCTTAAACAAGTCTTTGACACTGTGAGATTTTAGAATGTAAGATTTTGAGGATTCTGAGAGGTCACTGAGATGGTTTAATGCAGCAATTCTCTTCCCTGTTTCAATGGAGGCAAAAGAAGAGACTGTGTGGTTGCCCTTAGCCTCTGCAGATCATAATCTGGCAGGTCAGCACAATTCCATTTCCATCAATGACTTGCATTAACATGCCTCCACAGGACACTTTGGGATCTAGGCTGTACCTACATGAGCTTTCTCTCATGATTGCTGCACCATCTTTCACAACCTGACAATCTAGAAGTGTACACAAGTATTAGAGCATATTTGCTTCTGTTTGATGCCTCTCTTTGGTCTCTCTTGACACAACTGTGAATGTCAGGGCTATGAAACA